TTTTCGTTCAAATGGTAAGGTAAAACTGCATTGCCAACAAGCATCTGGTCAATATTGACATCATAAGTATCTTTCACAATTAACAATAGTGAGTGCATCAATTCGTTTCCAGCTCATTTAAAAAAAAGGACATTCAATGAAAACAATGAAATAAATTTTCACATGGGCTGCCACATCGGCATTTTGGATCCTCGTTTAAACCTTTTCTAAATAAGTAATTTTTAAGTTGTTGTTGTTGTTTGTTGTGTAACGCAGCTCTCAGCAATATTCCAGCTATATGACAGCGGTCTGTAAAAAATCGAGTCAGGACCAGACAATCCACGCAATTGGGATTCGATGACATGCATCAACCAAGTCAGCGAGCCTGACCATCCGATTCCGTTAGTCCCCTCTTACGACAAGCATAGTCGCCTTTTACGGCAAGCATGGGTTGCTGAAGACCTATCTTCATGGGTCAAATCACTATCATCATGTCTTAATTTTGTTTGTATTATGTTAATTTTCCTTAGACCATATGAGAAATATGATGCAACTGTAGATTTATCTGTTCTTAAACTTGATTTTAATCGAGAGAAGGTTTCAATATTCCTTTGCTTTATAGGTAATGTATTCCACAATTTAAAAGCGGATGGTATAAACGAGTGAGTGAGTTTGTTTGATTTTACGCCGCTTTTAGCAATATTTCAGCAATATCATGACGGGGGGTACCACAAATGGGCTTCACACATTGTACCCATGTCGGGAATCGAACCCGGGTCTTCGGCGTGACGAGCGAACGCTTTAACCACTGGGCTACCCGACCGCCCCTGGTATAAACGAGGATTCAGATAACTTTGTACGTAATAAAGGCATAGCCATATTGTGAGCAGTTCTAAGGTTGTATGTTATGTTTGTCCCGACAGAGTGTGGTACTAGGGTGTCATATTGTTATATATTTTATGAAATAAACACAATTTGCTATTTCTCCTACGCTCTGATAGGGGCTCCCTGGAAGTTTCGAAATATAGATTATTGACAGAAGTATAGCTAGGTAAACTAGTTGCAATTCTTGCTGCTTTTAGTTGGAGTTTTTCTAATCTGTCACTCTGCTTTTTTGGATAATAGTCTTTTACTGTCCAGTGCTCTTGCGCATGCGTTAAACGGGAAGATCCCACTTCTTTACTGATTGTGCTAAAGTAAACTCATGAAAATAAATAAAGAGTCACAGATGCTTAGTATCTTACTTTGGTTGATTAAGGTTTTGATCACGTAAGAAAGTAACTAGTGACATGTTATGGGAAGAATAGCGTCTCCATCTCCGTCGTCATCTTCAGCTCATAACAGTGCGGGAACTACAAGGCTTCCGGGGATCCACACCTGACCTAGCTGTTGGAAGTATTAGTCACCCTCTTGAGGTGTCCTCTGTGCAGCCTGCTCTCTGTGGTCTTGTTTAAGGAGGTGCTTGATGCCATGAAAAAGGCTAAGAAAAGACAGGAGATAAATTAACCTAATGAAACTGTGGTCCCTCTTGTTTAGACATGATTGTGTGGACCCAAGGTAGTTGCATATCTGAATCCACCCCAACGATTACCTTCTGTCGTTTTGAGTCTGTCCAGCATTACGGAGGAGGTGGATGCTATTAAGCAACATCAACACGTCCTGACCTGAAGCTTTCCCCGTCAAAGAGGCCAGAGTGGGGACAGTCAGATATACCGTCATAGATGACATAGAAGATATCACGTCCATGGATGGTATATGGGTGCCGCACTATGAGACCTCGGATCGTGAGACCTCGGACCATCGGTTCCCGAGAAGATGGTGACATTGGTTTGGGATTGCGCATTGCAGAGTTGGCGGACGAGTCACGATAGGTCTCTGCGGGACCATGGATTATACCAGCCTACCTACCGTCCGGGGGACAGCAATAACAGATTGGATTGCGACTCGATAAGTGCGGTATGGTGGACGTTCAGACTTTGTGTCTTCCTTGGATCTGCAACCTAAAGTTGAAGAAGAGTCTGCATCCCAAGCCAATGGGAGCTGCAAGAAGCTTAACAGTCAGTCAATGTGGGTACAGTTGAAGGCAGGCGTTGACATATCTTTGAACAGTTCCCGAATGTGAAGGCAACGGCTGTTAACAGGTTTGACTGTCCTAGAATCGGGACAGACGTCTGTCTCACACCACTACCAGATTGTCCACAACAGGCCGCACGGTCAAAGAAGAGTCCTGTTTCTGCCTCGGTTTCATAATGATAATGACTCACTCTCAGCTTTGTGAGATATTACATGGGCACGGCAAGGCTCGGCACGGCAGCCGGGTTAACTTGTTTGAGATTGGGAAGTGCAGCATTCCGTTGGTGTGATCATCACCAGATCGGACACCATGATTATGTGAAACCATCAGGTTTTCACAATCTACGACATTGGCACAGAATTACACACTGTTTGACGAATCATGACATACAATATGGGATCCAGTCGGCTTATGATTCCCAACTGAGACACCGTCACCAGCCTCCCGAGTCTCCATTTTTCTGAGTTTTTGGACGAAGTTCGCCATCTCATGTCGAGAGAGTAGCTACAGATGTTGGAATACAACTGTTCTCTACCATGACCGAGTTACGGTTTGGTCTGATTTACAGTTGCTCGTCCGATTGGAATGTCCAGCCAATCCACTTAGTTACAGAGACAATATTTTCCGTCCAAGCTCAGACTAAGGCACTTTTTGAAACTAACCAGAAGGATTGTTATAGCCAAACAGGGTCATGACACCTCATTTATTTTAGAAACAACTCAACACTATCAATTCGATAACAAGCGACGGAGAGGAGGCTACAGAGTGGATAGTCGATCAACAGGACTGAGATTCATGCCTACCAAGGTTTACCTAATGCCAACACCATGATCGATGGGAAGGGACCGGTTGGTAATATTATCAGTAATTGATAGAACAGCAAGATAGTGAGCTGCAGTTCACAAAGGGCCACACATGAAACAAAAGGATTTAGTTATGGGCATAAAAATCATAGAGAGCGAATTATTAATGATGCGCAACCCGACAGTGGAACCACTTAACTGGGGAGTGAAGCATTCACTGAAACTGTACTGACTATGTATGGAGCTTTATCTTCCATTCCTCAGTAATATCACGTCTCTGATTGGTTATTATGCGTAAACAAGATGTGCATTTATTCATGGAGCTGACATTTTCTCAACAAGAAATATTGGTTTCGTGGAACAAAATACAGAAACCTCGCACTTCATTTTACATTTGCTATTACGAGTTTCTTGTGACTGTTCATTCGAATTGCAGCGATGTTCATCAGATTTGACCACACCTAACAACATCACACATCAATTTTAATGTTTGTCCGATCGGGATAAGAAGCAGCTTACACCAAACACGGCTTTTTTTATTTAACTTCTTTTTCATCATGTTTCTTATGTCTATCAGAGGATCGTTATCTGAACATGCTCCAATGTGATATCGGCTCATCTGTGATGGTGGATATTTTGTTTTGGAGTCTGACGTTCCTACTAATCATGACTTTCAATAGAAGATTTCACATGCTGGCGTGAATGAACTCAGTATGGTCATTTAGGTTGGTTATGCTGATATTTTTCAGCCAATAGTGCTGAAGTATCTCATTGTTTTTATGGAACTCCTTTCCCTACCTTAACCGACAATAACCACAGTGGTGGCCTGCATCCAGAATGTAGGGGGAGTAACTTAACGTTTGTTTGCCACTTGCCTCGACAACAATCTCCTTGTATACGTCAGTCCAGTAGCAGATCCACAAGCTGTACCAGTGGACACATTATTCAAGAGCTGGAATGGGATGGTTGCCTACGCTTTCCCTCCATGATCACTTCTAGAAAGAGTCTTGATGAAGTTGGAGGACACAGATTGTGTGCTGATCCTCATAACTCCGTTTTGGTGAAGCAGGCCATGGTTTACCAAACTGTTTGCACAACTCATTGAGGAACCAATCAAACTACCACAACTGCCACAATCTTCTGCGTCAGCCCAGATTGGACATATTTCCACAGCCTTCATCTTCAAGGCTTAGAACCTATCACAGCTAAATTTAAATTAAAGCGATGACACGCCTCGGAGACCTTCTTCATCGGCAATTAATGACAATAGATGGGATAAGTTCTGCCAAAGGTGGAAAAGAAGAGGACTGGGAAATGACAATGTAACTATACCTAAGTTTCGTTATGGTACTGTAGAAGGTTATAGATCAGGAATCCAAACAAGTCCTTCCTTACGCAATTCACGGTTGTTTTATTCAAATGTACTTCTTGTACATTTTGTGTAAGACTACATGTATATGTCGTAAAGCCTGCATGTATATGTCCTGTAAGACTGTACGTATATGTCGTGTAAGACTGCAGGTGTATGTCGTAGAGACTGCAGGTATATGTCCTTTAAAAATGCAGGTATGTGTCATGTTCGACTGCCTATATATGTCCTGTAAGACTGACGATCCGTGGTAGAAGAGGTCTTCAGCAACCCATGCTTGCCGTAAAAGGCGACTATGCTTGTCGTAAGAGGCGACTAACAGGGTCGGGTGGTCAACTTGGTTGATGCATGTCATCGTATTCTAATTGCGTGGATCGATTCTCATGATGTCAATCACTGTATTGTCTGGTCCTGACTGATTATTTACAGACCGCCGTCATATAACTGGAATATTGCTGAGTGCGACGCAAACCAAACCAAACCTGTAAGACTGCAGATATATGTCGTAAGAAATGCAGGTATTTGGCCTGTGAGACTGCATATATTTGTGCACACAAATTACATGTAAATGCGGTATGATACCTCATGCATACAAATTGTGACAAAGTATGCAAATAGTTTGGAAAATGTGATGCGTACGTCCTGTAATGTATTCTGCATCCATGCATGTCATGGGCAAACAAGAATTTTGGTTTTTGCTGTCGGATATTTTGTTAAGTAGTGTCAGGTTTGTAAAACTGACGTTATACTCATTCAGTAACTTTTGCTTTTTCAGGGTGGAACGAGTTATTGATCGCTGGTTTTTGTCACCGATCTACTGCCGTGACAGATGCTATCCTGCTGTCAACAGGGTTGCACGTTGACCGTGCAGCGGCTCACAAAGCTGGTATTGGGGCAATAATTGATCGAGTCCTGACGGAAGTGGTAGACCGCATGAAGGCCTTACAGATGGATAAAGCAGAGTTGGGCTGTATTCGAGCTGTCCTACTCCTCAACCCAGGTATTATGTTTGGAAAATGTTGACACAGAAAACACATGTCAATCTTCGTGTTGCCCTCCCTATATTTGCTTAATCTGTCCCTGGTCCTGTTATTGATTGATTGCAATACATCAAATGTAACTTGTATGGCGCTGTTCATACCAGGGAAAAAACTTATTTTTCGTGAGACGGTGACAATGATTGCCTGAAATAATGTGGGTATGATTCAGATGTGAAAGGGTTACAAGCACCTTCAACTGTTGAAAGACTACGCAGAAACGTGTATACATCCCTGGAGGACTACTGCCTGTCAAGACACCCACAACAACCTGCGCGGTTTGCCAAAGTGCTTCTTCGTCTGCCGGGATTACGCTCCGTCACCCTTGCCAGCATGGAACACCTCAGATTCTACAAGATGATGGCGGACATCCCTGTACACGTTCATATAATGGACATGTTGGAAGATCAACAGACGGACTTGTTTTAGTCTTCTAGAGTTTTGTCACTCCCAAGAATTAATGAATGCATTTTGTAAATACTCATAACTATTAATGAGAGTTCTAGTAAATAAACCAACAATGAGTTTGCTTTAGTTGTGAACTTATATTATATCATTAACTAATGGGTTCTGTGAACCCTAATGTTTCAGATCATTCTTTATGTTTCATACGTTAATACTAAATTCTGCAAGTTTATATCAAATAGTAGTTACAAGCCATCGAACAAATTTATATTGGGATTATCTGGTCGCTTTCCTTTAGGGATTAATGCCCATTCTAGAGTTATAGCCTACTGGATAAGAGTTTCTAGACAGCCTTCTTCAAGATATTCTAAACGATGTTATGATTTATTAAAGAAATATTAGAGATATTAACTGGGTTTCATTTGTGCGAACCACCCTATTCCAGTCTTGTTTTGGACATTTCGGAAATAAAGATCTATTTCTGTGTAAACAGAGCTGTAAAGACACTTACCAACAAGAGTGGTACAACGATATGAGTGAGTCGAAATTCTTAAGTTACTATTCAGATTTCAGGTTTCTTATCACGCCAGAGAGATATCTGGTAGCTATAAAAACATTAAGCTTGCGCCGGGTATTGACAAAATTTAAATGTAATTGTCAGGATTTGCATATCAGAGCTGCCGGAGTTTCTAAAACTCCTGAAACAGAAAATACTACCTGTTTTTACTGCAACCATGGTACAGAAGTTTAATGATTTGTCCAGAATACAGTAACTTAAGAATGAAATATTTACCCCAGTATTTTGTAATCAGGCCCTTGACTGAAAAGTTTCCGATACCGATGACGATGGTCTCTTATTTAAATTATCTCAATTATTGTATCATATATTTCGCAAGAGAACAGTCCGTTTGTGAACAAATGTCTTTTGTTATTTGCACAGCATATATTAAGGTGCGCTCATTGTAACATTTACGCCTAAATGTAGACATGATGTACTATTGGTCTTTTTGCCACATATACAAATAAACGGTCTCACTGTCTGTCATATAATGGCGACAATAACCATTTTAGATTGAACAACGTGTAAATAAATTAGGGAATTTCTCATTCCTGTCACCTGCCAGGTGACAACAGTCGTACCTTGTATGCATGGAAGAGTGATTCATTGTGACATGTCAAAACTACCATTCGTTACAGATTTAATAGAACTTGTTGCAAACAGAGAAACATGTTTAACGAATGAGAAAAAGGCCTTGTGGGAATGTTTTGACTCACTTTGAGTTAGTATGTGAAACCAAGGCCATTACTGGTTCTATAATGGTCAAATAGACATCGCCCCGATTATGTTTCTAGGTTTGTCAGCACCATACCCGTGCTCGTGGAAACAGAAGTATGTACGTTATGAAGAGGTGTTTACAATGTGTACCAATAATGTATATTTTAAAACTTTGTATTTATGTTGCGTTTTCATTTTACAGTTGCGTATATTACACAGTTATTGTACTTTAAGAGAAGAGTAAATGACAGCTTGACCAGTACCTGTTGAAATATCCCATATCATGATTTACATTTGCAAAATATTTTGTTAGTGTATTGAGTAAGCTCCCATTGGATACCCTGGAAAGTTGGCATTTTGTGTTAAATTCTTTTGTCAAATATGGGTTTTCTCAGCACCAAGATGATGGTGTTTATAGGATTATTGTTTTGTAAGGTATGCCCGAGTAAAGTTTTCTTTTGAAATATGAATGCTTATTTTCCCTTTATTGAGAAGCCAGTTGTCCATATTGGACCAGATGGGGCGTACCTTTTGACATTCCCCAAAAATGTGTAAAATCGTTTGTTTGTTTATCATTTGAGCAATAACTACACAAGACACTGTCCACGTATCCCATTTAATAAAGTAGCGAATTTGGAGGTAGAATATGATGTAGTATTTGGTTTTGAAGCCACTGAAATGTGCATGACTTGGTACACATAGACGGTATAAGATGTAATGTTTACGATCTGCTTCGCAGATTTCACTAAGCAGGAGTTCCTATTTTTGAAAGGGTTGATTCTTGGTAATTTGGTTGTCTTTAAGTATTTTATAGAAATATGGAGAACCTTTCCTGGTTTATTACAAATGTAATAAATACAAATTGGGTAACCAAGTTTCTGAATGCCATGTTTCCGACAGTATTGCTTAATGGACTGGATCAGACTTTGACATATGAGAATTTATTTAAAGGTTGAATGTCTCCGTGAATTGTACAGATGAAAGAAAGTGTCCCTTTTCGTCAATAAAACCGTTAATAAATCTGATGCCTTTTGTAGACCATGATTGGTAGACAACCGTTTCCTTCCCCATGTGTATGTCATCATTTAACCGGACATTTTGTGAAAGAATGCCAACGGCAGGAATATTATTATTTTCTAGACCGTCCACAAAAGCCCACCAAGACATTAAATCTTTATATAACTTATTGTTTACTCTTGATATATATATGGCTAATTATGCTTCTGGCTATTGATCTCGAACACATTTTTACCGCTTATTATAGGGGTATTTAAAAAGAATAAACACCATTTAGAATGGGTAGAGTACCAATTAATGACAAAACTAACAATCAGTCAAGTGTTACCACAGAGTGTCTGTAGTCTTATCACGATATGCTGCACGTGATTTCCAAACTTTATACACTAATCTTGCACGAGACAAATGGTGCATCTCGGGTAATAGATATAGGACGTCACATGTGATGCGTTCAAGAGCATCGGTTCACACAGCATAACAGTATGGTCGTTTGTGCATCGAACCAATCTTATATCTCTTGAATATGAGTATGTCTTCATTTAGTAACCAACATTTATGGTATTCGCGTTTCTTTTGGCGGTGAGTATATTCAGATCTTTGATTCAGAGGGACAAAACATTCAGAGTGACAAAAACTATCCTCAAGTCTGTCACAACACGGAGTAATATCACAACCCAAATATGGATTAAGAATATATCTATTAAATAAAGTTAAGAATTATGTTGATAATGACGTAACCTACGTACTCACACCCATTCAGCTACCATCCACTAACTATCACCCTTCACACACTTCACATACTTCACACACACTCTGTCCCTCTAACATACACTTTCCAAATACGCAAGGTTACTCAACTCTACTGTCAAATACACTAATATCTCCTAAATCCCTACTAATACATCAATATATAATTGCATCAATATCAGAACATCAATACCTCTCAACATCAACACCTTAATAAATTAACATTTTAAGGCAGTAATACATGCAACACTTCAGTACATGCATGTCAACAATCTCACATTATGTACACAATATGTACAAAGTCATTTTCTCCACGCCTCCTTCCACGTCATCGCACTATATATACACTATACAATGTTTAAGAGCCTCGCACAGGTCTCATCCAGTCCAGATTAGATTCTCATATTCTTGGTCAGGCTTCATACAACGAATGTCCCTGCCTCCTCATATTATATACAGGTGCCCCTCCGGGTCCCCGGACACTATACAACAAACGTATACACGTAAGTCTATATCAAGTAACCATTCACCTTAAATCGAGTATTACTCCGAATGGTACACACACAGTTATTCAACATACAGATGAGCATGGGAGCATGCTCAGAATAACTACACACGGTTATTCAACATACAAATGAGCATGGGAGCATGCTCAGAATAACTACACATGGTTATTCAACATACATCAAGCCTGTTCAATACTCAGAATAACTAAAACTATCGAGTTATTCAACATACATTGAGCGAGTACTACTAAGAATAACCAATGTCAATATCAAAAGTAAATGTACATGATATTATTATTATTATTTTGGTGGTTGTTTTCAATACAACGACGACTGCCAAAACACGGCCAAATCCAGACTTTGTGTGAGATCTCTAAGATTGTGTTAACTTAATTCACGATGAATATACACTACAAAAGACATGTTCCTACATCCGTTTACTATTCTATCATTACATATATATAACTATAATTATACAGATAATACATACATGATCAAGCTACAAGAATATAAGCATAAACAATATTCAAATAAAATGTTACTTACGCCACAAGATTGGGATAACTCACCAAAACCAAAACCAACCAACCAAGGTTAAAATTCTCATAGACTGCCCTGAAATTTAGTTGACAGTCTTCTTAAATACCCATTCAATCACACAGCTCATACAACAAAAGACGTTCACTCCTGACCAGAGCAATCTTACATAACACCTTTAAAGCTCACAGCTTACATACAGTCCAACCACACTGTGATACATACAATCAAACCAACTTAAGAGAAATATATGCATTGTGATCTTGACAAAGACTGAGAGACAAGAGGGATTCACCTTTCCAATTGCAGACATTTCCTTTATGTGGAGCAATATTCCAGCAGCTCCAGTGGCGGCGAGGTAGTCTCGGGATTTGAAGCGTTTGCTCGTGATGTCGAAGACCCGGGTTCGATTCCTCACATGGGTACAATGTGTGAAGCACATTTCTGGTGTCCACCATCGTGATATTCCTGGAATGTTGCTGAAAGCCGCGAAAAAACATACTCACTCACTTTCTCCATCTGCCCCAACCTTTGGGGTCTACTTTTTCACCACTTTTGAGCGTCATACGATTCTTGCACAAATGTTGTTTGATCAGGGTTACAACATTCAAGGCCACAGTAAAGTATGCAACACGATTTGGGGCGGACATGTGGAAGTTATATCCGAATTTGACGCACCAATGACAAAATGATTTGTTTGTTTGTTGTTTAACGCCGCACTCAGCAATAATCCAGCTATATGACGGCAGCCTGTAAATAATCGAGTCTGGACCAGACAATCCATGGCCAGTGATTAATATCATGAGTAGTATAGGTAATAGGGGTTCTGGCTCACTTCCACTGGAGCCGGATTTATATACCTATACTGCTACTACAGGGGGGATTTTTTATGCGTAAATGATGATGCGATTTAATGATAGTCATGAGATTGGCTCTAGCTCACCAATACCTGGGGCCAATCATTGCTTTAGATGAGTCTAAATGGTAATTAAAATATTCTTTATTATTTTTATCGATAAAGCGATATTCAACATTATTATTAAGTTCTTCGTTCATTTTACTAGGAGACCAGACTATATAACTACACTCTTTTTGTAAATTGATAAGAAACAATTGATAACCGTATTTGGTTGGTTTGGCATCACTGATATAATAAAAACCTTGTGGTAATTCTTTCCATTGAATAGCTTTCTCCATTATTATATATTTATGTTAGCATTTGTCTAAATGTAATCACACGATAGTAAACAATCTATTTTTAATCTCCAACCAGTTCTTTGGTTTTGGCACGGAATAATTGACGCGCTTGTTGCCTCCCCTGTTCTATGAACTTTTTTTTCTCATCTTCGCTAATACCACTGGTCTTATGAGATTTTGATCGAATCTCCTGCTTCATTGCGTTGTATTTGGTGAGTTCTGACAACACTAAACGAAACTCATCCTCGGATATCTTACAATCGGCCATTGCTGTCGAAATATGATCCTCAATGCTGTTCAACTTTGCTTCGGCCAGTATCCGAATAGTATCGTGTTTTAATGCTTTCTTTTGTAACCTACGAGAAATGAATTTTATCGCTATTCCTGCCAGTCCCGAGACTCCAACGGTTATTTCCATGCCGAGCACGATAGGCGCAGCGATAATAGTTGATAGTAAACCGATACCCGCTACACCGAGTCCCATACCAGATACTAAAAGCACGGTGTCAACTCCGTCCAGAGCATTCACGGCTCTGCAATACTTTTTATACAATCCAAGTCTCAACTCCCTATCCTTCTCTATTCGATGTTTTATGTCGCTTATTTGATGTAATCGAAATCCATCAACAGTTTCCATCTTTTCAAATGCTTCATCGAGCGCTGGATATAAACTCATAGTGTATATTACGTTCATATAATAGTCTTTAATTGGTCTTGCTTAAATGTTTTGAGACTATACATCAATCTTATCAAATGTATATTATACGGCAATAATATCTTAGAAAGAGAAATGCTGTCACTTTTAATAATTTGGACCCCCTCGAGGGTTGCAACGGGCAATGCTCCAATATGAATAATACTGCAACGTTGACGCTCGTGTTTCTTGAGCCATTTAATCGATAGACCTGGTAATATATCGAAGGCATCTTCCGGTGCATCTCCGAACAAGACTTCAATAATAAGCGTAGAAAGATTAGGTATTGCACACAGGTTAACTTTAATATCTTCGAATTCAGTAACCAAATTTAAAGTAACATTTTTTAAGGCCGGACGACTATATAACATATGACCTGGGTTTTCTGACAGGGAGGTAACTAACACACTTTTTCGTTTTGATGGGATATAAGCCGCGAGTACGATACCACTATTTATTATCTTAGTTAAATTATGTCCCTTACCCATCATCACATAAGGTGGGGTAATGACGATATTCAGTAGCCACTCGATGTTTGCTTCGATCATAGTCCATTTATTATCGTCGTTGTGAGTAATATTGTACGAAGTGTTTTTAAGGAGTCTACTAACATCAACATCGCTTAAATCCCCTAGATTACCCGTGAATGTGACTTCTTTCCGATTGTATACATTATCGTGTAAGTGTAAAGCGTATAACTTACCATCGGTACCGGGTTTACCAAATCCTTCTGTGTCTCCGAGATCGGAAAGCGCAATTGTATTACATTGTCTTACTGTTCCAGGGCCTGATGCATCAACCATTATTTTTAATATGGAGTGTTACACTTAAGTATCCTATATGTACAGGTTGGTGTTTTACATCTAATACAGAAATTTTGAGGTCGCCTCATTTTGTGTGAGACTAATTTTATTAGGCTTAAAAATTTCATCATTGAGTGAGCTTACGCTGTAATACCCATCAGGTATAGTAATGGATTTGCTAGTACCATATGAAGTTATTATCATTATCCCATTATTATTTTTTATAGCATTTATATTGGTCCACCTCGGGTAATACGTTACATCGCATAGGGCGACTTCGAGTTGTCCATCCGAGTTATCGATAGTACGAAGCAGTTGAATAGACTGACCATTTGTTATTCCCAGGAGTGTAACATACATATCAAATATACAATGATACTATATCATAACTTAAATATGGAATCAACCATTATTTTTAATATGGAGTGTTACACTTAAGTATCCTATATGTACAGGTTGGTGTTTTACATCTAATACAAAAATTTTGAGGTCTGAAATAATACCCCGCTTTAATTTTTTAT